TGGCTGAGGATAGGAGTAGGATAGTTGATGGTGGTTGGTGCTGCCTCGGGCGGGAGGTGGGTCGGTTAGAGATTAGCTTGATGAAGATGCCTTCCGCCAGGATATCACCTCATTCACAAGAGGTCAATCCTTCCCTTGTGTAGGGAAGCAATCAATGCCCCTGCTCTATTCGGACAATGTGTAGTAGGATATTATCACACGCTATTGCATAAGGGATGCTGGACTCGACGTCCAGATCACACATACCACATCATTGATAGGGTTTCGTGTTTAGGGTTGATTGATTCTGATCGGGGGCGGGGACAGGGGAGAGACAGGGTGGGCGGCGCTGCCAGGAGCGCCGCGCCGCCCAACCGCACTACCGAGAGTGCCGCACGGCGCGATGGAAATTTTGGCAGGAAGCCGCCGGTGCACTTCGTCTGATGGTTGTTGCCTAGGGCTATGGCGTCGGGTGGAAGAGATGGTGGTCGCACCACCGCACGTCGCGAGAGGAACATCATGCCGGTTGTTTTTTGCATTCTGCCGGGCGGGTTATTGACTATCGTGGTGGGTGGGTGAGGTGGGAGCAGCACTGCTTGGTGCCTGAGAGCTGATCTTTATAGCGGCTGCAAGGGTGGCTGAGTATTGCGTTTTGCAGATGGACCTCATGGGTGGGTGCTTTCCCTTCGATGATTGCCGTGGATGCTTCCCTTTCAACGATTGTGGAGAGGAAGGTTAAGAAGGAGTGTCTGCGTCACGTTGAAAGGAGGTTGTGTGTTATGATGCTGCTGGTCAGAAGAGCTAGGGTTATGGGCCCCTTCTTCCTCAACAACACGGTAAGTGGTTTCCTATGGGGGCTTGAACTCCCTGTGGCGGCGCACCAACGGGTTTGGTGAGGAGGTGCCACACCATCTCTGCTTCCTCTTGGGGGATTGAAGATGGCCGTCAATTTCTTCGGTGTTAGCAGTGCGTAGAAGCCTGGGGGCTGACAGTGGGACGAAGGATGTTCCTCGTTCCCCGAAGATGCTGGGGTTGGGTTCGAGGGGGATGGGGTAGGTAGATGCTGCTGGGGAAGAGGGGGCAGCGATTATATTGTCGATTGATGGCGCTTATGGCCAGTACTCGCCCATGTATGGTTTGGTGTCTCAGTAGTACCGGGCGCTGGGCTGATCCCCTCTAATAATACTTGAAATTCTGATACTGATTTTGCGAATGATTTCTCGCGTGAATGATTCTTAGTTTATTTTTGATTTTTGAGTACTAATGATCTTGTCTAACTGTGATTTTCTTATCTTGTTGATCCGTTTTTTCGTTATGATTGTCCATCTGGTATTCTTTGAATTACTAGTTGCCGTCTGTCTGATGATTGATATTCCCGCGTGATTTTAAACCGTGTATCGAAATTCCTGAATTTAGTTCCAATTTTACGGGTCCCAATAGTCTTTTACGTCGGCCTTTTAATAATGATCTCAAATTCTTTTTAATAATACTATCTTGAAAAAATTCCTATGGAATTTCCTATTAAAATTTCTGATTTCTTACAATCATGAGTCCGTTTTTGGACATCTCAGGTAAATCGAAAGGGATTTCCAAACTACTCTCGAATTTTATATCTCAAAATCTTGTCTCTGAATTTCGAATCAAAAATGATTTCCCCTTGTAATTTCCGGACCAATTAGCATCGATTAGTATTACAAAATCGACGGAGGATAAACTTTCACCAAATTCCTTTGAGCCTTTCGTTCTTTCGACCTATTCTCGTTTGTTTCGCCCTTAAAGGGTGCTGGTTGCGGGGGTATGATGGTATGGTGGGAGGAAAGGACGCGCTCTGCGGGAAGGGGCTAACTGCAGAGTGGAAATAGGGTATAGCAGCAGGGGAGATAGTGGCTTCACTGCAGTAAGTCTTACCGGAGTAAGGTTGGAAAGGTTTGGGAGGTGGGTGCTAACAGCTCCTTCTAGGGCCTGTCTTATGTTCTTATTTTTCAGGAACAAAGAGGGCTGCTGGGTAAAGAGGTGGGAAATGGGGGCAACAGAGGGGGGACTGTAGGTGTTGCTAGTAGGTCTGAAGGAAGGGGCTGGGACGACGCAGGCCGGTGCTGGAGTGTTTGGTCTGTGACCTGGGAGGAGCATGAGGCCTGGGGAGTTCTGTCGAGGGTGGAAGACAGAACCAGCACTTTCGACGTGGCCGTTAGCTGGGGTTATATCCCTTTTACCAAGGGGCGTGCGGCTATGGGGAGTAGCCGAGGGAGGAAGGCACTCCTCACCGTCTACACTAGGTTGGTCGGTACCGGGGCTTGGTAGTGTCCTGTAACTCCAGCATGGGAGGGTATGAGACCAGCTGTGTGTTGGATCGAGGACTGAATACGACACCTGTGGTTTTTCTTCATTTGTTGTGGGGAGGCGGGATTCTGTTGGTTGTGCAGCTCGCATTAAAAATCTTCATATCATATTTGTTTTATGCTAGATCAAGCTCTTCTGGATTTGTGGTGGCATCTAGCCTTCGTACAATCTGGGGCAGAGGAGGTCAGAGAGGGTCGAGTGCGGACTAGTATCCGCAGAGTTGCTCTGTTCTGTGCCCCTGGTTCTGCCGATGCCAGAACGATGCTGGCCGGAGCTGGGGCGTCGCCATGTGGCCTGCAATTTGCAGGAGCGTGAGGTCTTGTAGAGAGATCTGGGTTTTGCCGAGGGAGGAAGGCAATTCAGTGGTAAACCGGGGGGGCTGCTAGGAGGCGAGAAGAGATCAGCTATGGGGGATGTTGGTTCGGTGGAGGTTGTCTCAGAGCTATTAAAATCCTGGGTCAAAGAAGGCTAGGAGTTACGGCAGTAACTGGTAGGAACGGGATTGAGGTGAGAGAGAGAAAGATATCACGCGTCCTACTAGTGAAGGGGCTAGCTGGTAGGACAGAAATAGGGCATAGCAGCAGTAGAGATGGTGGCTTTACTGCAGTAAGTCTTGCCGGAGTGAGGTAAAGAGGACTGTTGGTGGATTCTTGAGTCTTTTTCTGATTTTTGTCTAACTCTGAAGTTCCTTACAAAAGAGGTCTGAAGTAGCTCCAAAATTCTTAGTTGGCTTCTAGTTTCATTGTCATGGAATTTTCTGATGACTTTTCTGAATGTGCTCGTTATGGGACGCTGGGCCCGGTTCCCAGTTTGTGCCAATTTGGAGGATATTGTTTTATCTATGGGACGCTGGACCCGGTTTCCAGCAGGTGTTGCTCCCCACCAATAGATGGAGCTTGTGTTCAAAAAAAAAAAAAAAAAGATTCTGATCACACACATCACATCAGTGGTAGGATTTCGTGTTTAGGTTCATTGATACAGAGCACATACATTCTATCTTTGATTCGGGTTGCGTGATTTACAACTTTGCTAGGATTTCGTGGCATGTCCACTCCGCAATAAAAAGAGATTAACAAACACATACAGACAGTTATAGGATGCTCAATAGGAATATACAATCATCGCTGTATAGGGACACTGGACCCGTTTTCCAGCCCATACACATCACATCATTGTATAGGGACCCTGGACCCGATTTCCAGCAGGTGCAGCTCCCCACCAATAGATGGAGCCTTCAACGCTGGGGCCTACTTATAGGGGATGCTCTTATCACCTCGGTAAGTAGGTTTTTCCGGCTCCGAAGTTGCAGCCCAAAAAAAAAAAAAAAAAAAAAAAAAAGGAATGAATGAATCCTCTCCTAGAACATGGAAAGATGCATCCCCTTATTTTTTCCGTCTTTTGTGCATGTGGGGATTAGTGGAGCAAGGGCCTTCCTGTATTCATACCTTCCTGTATTCATAGGATTCGGAAAAAAAAACAAAAACAAAAAAAAGGATTCCGCAACTTTCGAAAAAGATTCAAGTCACGTCAGACGTGGTCAGTTGATTAACAGTTACACGTAGATACAGCATCCATGTGGGTAGTCCTCTGTAAGAAATCTTCCTGACAAAAAAAAATAAAAATAAAAAAAATCTTCCTGACCACTGTCCATCAATTTTTGGGAGCTCCAAATCCTGATTGGTGGAGAGGAGCCTCACTCTCAAAAAAATCGTGGAATCGAGAGTGGCAGACTCTGGGTAGACTGTGAGGACCACGGCCTCAATCTTCATTTGAAAAAAAAAAAAAAAAAAAAAAAAAATCTGAAATGAAAAAAAAACAAAAAACAAAAGAGCGAAACCCAAAGAGCCGAGAATAACACACGTCGACAAGCGTTAAGAAATATCTTCAGTTCTCTCCCAACAGGCATGGGCAGCGAATTGGGTCATCGGTCCACTTACTCTACAACGCTCAACTCTGGCCAGAAAGATAACTCGCCCACGAAGAACATTGTCAAGAAAGAAACCATCAGAAATTGGGTCATCGGTCCACTTACTCTACAACGCTCAACTCTACAAAGCTTGAGAGTACAAAGGACAGCTGAAAGTCCCATTCGCCTGCACTCACTCTCCAAATTTGGGCGCTCATCGTAGGCCAACGAGGACTCTACAAGAAACGGTTGTTGCAGCCCGGGAACTCAACAGTCGTGTAGAGCTCTTCTCGTTCAATGACATGTTTTCTGGCAGCTATACAAAGTAATTTCTCACGTAGATTTTTGAAGTTCGTGCAGCCATGACCCAACTCTACGAAATGTACAGTGTAGAGTAGTGCAGTAAGGCCCAAATACTCGCTAAATGAGAGGATGAGAATCGGCCACTGCAGTTCTCCATCCATCCGCCAGCCCCCCCTTTTTCTCCCTTTCTGAAAAGGGCGACGTCCTTGAGATACCCTGCTCTCCAATCACCGCCGATTAGGGCGGTGACATGCAGCCGGTTGATTGTGAGAGGTACCTATTGGCGGCGAGTGGCGCAGCCAGGCCTTTTGTCTCTTTCACATTTGGTGAGTGCTGCAGCCCCTCCACGACTCCCCAATTGTACAAAATGAGAATGACCGGCCTCTACAACACCATGGACTTTTAATGGAAAAAAAAGGAAAAAAAAAGAAAAAAAAAGAAAAAAAGAATCTCCCTCTCCTCCCCCCCCCCC